CACACACACACACACACACACACACACACACACACACACACACACACGTTTTTGTACAGAACCCCCTTGCTTGTTTGAAGTTTGGTATATCCACAAGGGACTTTGCCATTGATCCAAATGTTTAAATCAATTCTTTCACACCGTTTTTAAAAACACTTCAGTTGTTCGCTGAACTCCAGAAAAAGCCCCGGAAATGAAAATTTTCTATTGTGAGATTTGGATTCAGATTGGAATCAAAGCTGGTGGCTTTGGAAACAGTCCATTCCCCAATTAGACTTTTTCAACCTGCCAAAGCAAGATATATGGTATGGTATAGATATAGATATCTCTTATCACAGTTTTCACTCGTTTCAGAACTGAAACTTTCCCTCAATCATCCTAAACCTGTTTACGCAAGGGACCTTCAAGGATTAAAGATAATAATCCTGACCTATTCACACTGACCAGCAGTTGTATCATTCCCTGCAGGAAGAAGGATGCTTCAGAGAGTCATCTGAAGGACAGAACACAAACAGATGAGAGTTTGCAATTGCTGGATGGGTCAGCTAAGGTTTGTAGTGCCACTTATGTGACCTCACCAGCTTTACTACCAGAGCTATTTAGGTTAGGCTGCCTCAGCCTTTTGACCTATTAATACTACCATGGGAAAAGCTAACGGCTCCTAATAGCTTACACAATGGTCAAATAATATCTTATATATAACATGTAGATGGTGACTTAATTAGTATATACATCAGATCACAGAGCATAACAGGAGTCTCAAAGGCTCCATAAAAATAGTACCTATTTTTGTTCATGTAGTCCTTCATGGGGTCAATGTTGTATCTTATATCCAAGAGAGAAGTTTCCCCATCTTATAATCAACTATTCACATTCTAATATGATAAGAATAATCTCTTACAAAAGCTCCAAGAAAGGTATGGTACACCAATGCCATTAACATCATTAAAGAGCCATGTCCTTACCTGAGCTGCAATGGCAATAATTATATATCAGCAACTTGGGGTAAAAGATAAAAGATCTTCAAGTCAAGCTTGATTGATGACCTTACATACGCCTTGGTGTAATTTTCTTGGTGGTATTATATTACTGGGCAATGTTGCAGAAATAGTTTGTCACTGTCTTGTTCCATTTTTTAAAATAATTTCCTGATCTGGTTTATGCTACTGAGATTGGTTAGTGGTTTCCCATCCTAGTACTAATCAGCTCTGCTCATTTTCCAAGCCCAACAATGGTCAGCCAGCTGTTTCAATTGGCTGAGGTCGAGTCACTATTATTTATATGACAGCACAGGATAAATCTGCTTGAGAGCAAAGCATGACAATGGAACTAATAAAGAAGTATCTGCCCAGCCAATTCAATCTTGCAGGATTTCTTCGACTAATCAATGTCATCTAAAAAGACCCTGAAGTGAATCTTTTCTGTAGAAGCACCTGCCTTCTGGATTGAGGTTCTCCAACATCTGGATGGCCCTCACTCTACTGTTGTTTAGAAAAGCCGTGAAGACTATCTATCCACTATTTTGTCTTCTTTTTTTCTTCCTTCTTGGTAATTAGTTTTATTGTAATTTTCTTGCCTCCCCTCTAATCATTGGAGTTGGGTAACATTCAAGTTTCATAGATGAATGAATGAATCTGCAGACATTCTGAATGTACCCTTAAGTGAAAAGGCAAGGCATTTTTTTTTAAAAAATAAGATTTTGAAAACTTGAGACAAATAGCAGTAAGAAAAAGTCCTGGGCCTTACTGACAGCAAATTGATAGTTAACCATTCACCCAAGGAGTCTTAAAGATCTCTCATATGAAATTGCTGGTCTTTAGGAAAAGATATGCAACATGTCACCCAAACTGCCTTCTATATTAGAGGGTTGAAGTATAACAACTACGTTTAAAAAGGAATTTGCAAAGTTTGGCTAAATTGCTTAATTGTTTAACACTGATTCTAAGTAATTTACTGGAAAGCATTAATTAAACATAAAATGATCTAATATTTAAACAAGCCTGTCTTTTGAGAAAGTACAGTGATCCTTGTCTCAGTAATCCTTCAGGATTCTTGCATTAAAAGAATATGATATCCATCATAAGTCAGCTATAGAATCTACTTCCTGAATATGTAGTGATGGCATAAATTTAAAATATTTACAGACATGAACGTTAAAGATATACTATCTCTACATTCACAAAAATCCAGTTGATTATTGCATGAAATTAGATGCTAGATCTAATCCAATAAATTTAAGAATGGGAATCTTAGTCCCTCAACCACAAAACAAAAACATGAAACCTTATTCCCATCCTCACATAAAACCTTAACTCTTTCCCAGACTTCCTTTCCTCCAAATGAAATATATATTATTTCCATATATTGCACTGTGGTTAAACCATCAGGAATGAAATTTCTATTCCAACCTTCCTTAACCTGGGGTCTATAGCATGTTAGGATTGCAATGCCCAGAATTATCAATGCAGTACCAGGCTAGCTTAGGCATGAAAAAAAAAAAATGACACGGTAACCTTTGGCTAGTCACTCTCTCTCAGCCTCAGGGTTGTTGTTGTGGGGAAAATGGGAGGAGGGAGGTGTGTTGGATATGTTCGCTGCCATGACTTATTTGTAAAAATAATAAAGGCGGGAAATAACTAAGTAAATAAATAAATGATTCTGTTGGATGGGGATCAAGAAAGTGAGGACACCAGTTTAAAACAGCTTCTCCATTTGGTTCCAGCAGCTGGAAAGATCTATGGATTAGAAGGAAATTGCATATATCCATTCATAAGTGCTTAACCAACACTGTGCTAATGCTCAGAAAATAGTCCAATACCAACTTGTGCTGCATCTTAAAAATAGATTGCAATGGCCCAAGTAACTCTACACGGGGCTGCTCCTAAAGATCACCCAGAAGCTGCAATTAGCCCAGAATGATGTGGCACACTTGGATACCCCGTGGTTCACCTGAATAATACTAGAAAGGTGTACTGGTTTTTAACTGCTTTTGGGATGCAATTCAGAGTGCTGGTTATCAGCTTTAAAGTAGAGGGTCAGGCTACCCAGGGACCACTTCTCCCTGAGGATATCTACCCATCCAATTATATATTAGATAGAATGGGCACAGTCCAAATTCCCTGCCTTAGAT